TATATATATTGATCAAGTAGCCAACCCATAATCAGCATACTATAAAAAGAAATAAAGAAAAAAATAACATAGAAGAAAGAATATAGAAATACTTCTTCTGGATTGGAATCAGGTAGAAGACCTGTATCAATTTTTGATCGTCCATACCATTGAGGTTTTTCATTAACAATCTATTTTAATAAATAAATAAAAATATTATTTTAACTAATAAGAATATATAAAAATCAAGTTTTATTCAACCGGAACTTATATTTTTTTCTACATTCTACTACTAAACTTATGCACATTCAACATTCTTGCAGACATCATCTATAGCTAAAACTATTTACATTGAATTACATCAAATCTGTTTCTATGAAAAAAACAATTAGTATCGTGTAGTTGATTATAAGTTATTAATTTTTGATTCCTTGAAAATTTCATCAATGGAGAAGAGATTCATGTTGAAATCGTCTCACACAATGGAATCTTCATCGTTCCTTAAAACTACAGTGGACTGGAATATCTTATCTGTGACACAATATAAACATATGAATCATTATTTAGTAATCGAAAAAATGAGATTAATGCATTTAAATAGTGAAAAAATCGAGAAATGTCAAAAAAGCTTTTTTTTGGATCCTAGAGAGAAATTAGTGTTTTCATCAAAAATTCTTTGCGTTAAGGTCTATCGACTTCGAGTTGTTGGTTGCGATCAAGGTTTACCGAGTTCTATTTGTAATTAGAATATCAGGCAACAGGATCGAAGTATCTGTATGTTTTACTCTATAGGAGAACTTCTTGAGAGTACTGTACGTATATAACAGATTATTGCGATTAAGAAAAAATCTTTTCACAACTAACAAAAGATCTTTGTCAAAATTTCTGATGATTAATGACACAAAATCTATTCTTGAATAACTGCTAATGATATAAAGAATGGAGAAAAAGAAATCAAAATTGATCCTGTAAAACATAAACGACATTATACAATGAAGATCAATAGAAAGATTTGACATGAATAAATCAATTTTTTGTCGTTTTCCAAAAATATCTCATCAAAAAAATTTGAAAATTTTTCGGTGCAGATAAAATCACGACGTATTGAATCACATTTTTTATATAGCCAGACACATGAATCCAATAGGAACTAAAGTGGTATGCGATTGTCAGATTCCGGTATATATCCGATGGAATCTGATACTCGAATTGTTCGCCACATTTGTATATATATGTAACGTAAAATTGAGATTCAGTCAATGTTTTTCAAAGATCTAACAATCGAAAAAGATGAGAATAAAGAATTGATCTTATATATATATATTTATATTAAATTATGTTCAAATTTAATTGAAGATCTAGTTTATCTTAGCAAACTTCGGAAAGAAAAGATCTTTAATCTTATGTGTTTTGGGTTGTATTTTTTAATATGTCTTAAAATTAATGTGGTTTGTAGATGACATATAAACTATAAACATGTTTTGTTGAGTTATGTTTCAATGAAAAAAAAACAAAAAAAAGATGAAGCATCTTTTTAGCTTATGTATTCTTTGTGATAGAACATTAACTGTCTTCTTTCGGAATTTAATACTTCAAACATTTAAAATATCGCTTCATTTATGCATAAAAATACTTTCGAAACTCATTTTTTCGATATGTCAACGTAGAACAAGTCATTCGTGCATACATTGCTATATGAATAAATAACAAATGAGTATACTCTATATAGTTTTAAAAAAAAGCAAGTACGTGCTATGTTTGCTTCATGTAAGTGAAAATTAGAATTTATTTTTAAATATAAGAAAACTATTTCATTGTTTAGTGTCTAATTAAAAAACAAATTTTATCTAATGAGGAAATCCTCAAAGTCCACACTTATAGTCAGTCGCAAGTAAACAAATCAAGAATAAATTACAAAGAGAGAGAGAGAGCTCGAAAAAGTGAGTTCACAGTGTTAACTCGAAGTTTAGGGTTTACTTTTTTGTTCTCTATTCCTTCCCAAATTACTGCTTATTTAATTAGTACTGAATGCCAGCATTAGGATTCGATCGGTTTTCGAAAATGGAATTCGGACGGTAGGTTCTCATTAGTTTTTGACAATAGAGTTAAAAATTCTCTCTCTCTCTCTTTCCGATATCGTACTTTCTATTAAGCTGAACATATCTTCATAGATATTAGATACTGTATATGATCCTCGCATTATTTTGGTTTCTTTCGTATCTCCTTTTGTTTGAATACAAAAGTCGAGATACGAAGAGTACCCTATACATAAACGCATGTGTTTGTTTTGAATAAAATGTTTTTTCTAAGATTTGTAAAAAACTATAAAAGCACAATGTTTTATAAAACCAATGGACATTACAAGTAAGATGGTGGAATATTATGATGCCTCGTTTTTTTTTTCTGCCTAGAAAATTGACTATTGTTAACTTATTTTATTAATGTATTTACCACTGGTCTAAGACGTGAATCAGAATTTTGATCATATTTATCATTGTATGTATCAATTTTTGAGTGTGAACTCCATTGAGGTAATTGATTAACAATCTGATTAAAACATAAATTTACAAAAAAAAAAAAAAAGAAAAAATAATTATTTATTTTAATAAAATTCTTACTATTGGCTTTTTGTGATCTTTTAATTTATCAAGATATTCTTCATTATGAGCATTAATTTGTGGTGTTTTTGTATGCCATTGAATTTTTTCTCGAAAAATCTTTTAAATAAAAAAACGGAAATTTCTAGTTATTTATATAAGAAATTATTATTTAATACAAGAGGTATTGATCGTTTTTGTCGAATACGTTCAATATAATCATCATTTTTTTGATTAATACGAGTTTCTTTTTTCCATTCAAATTTTCGATCTTCAATTGGCTAAATAGAAAAAAGAAAATTTCAAATTTTCATATCTTATTCAATTTATTAGTTTTTTCTTTTTTTTTGCATACAGGAAGTCTTGATAATATTCTTCTTTTCTTATGTTCTACATATTCAGGATTAGAATGATTAACACGAGGTCTATCTGCTTTTACTGTTCGTTCATGTGAAAAACTCTAGATCAAAAAAATTTTGAAAATAAAAATCAATTAATTTTAAAAAATATTTCTACTTGAATACGTTGTTTTGCTGTTTGTTCTCGTAATGTACGTTCACGTTCTATATGTTGAATATATTCTTCATTATGATGATCAATTCGTGTACGTGGTTGCCATGTAAGTTTTTCATCATAAATCTTTTTTTTTGTTTTGTTTTATTTGTCAAAATAAAAATAGATTCATAATAATATTATTATAATAAAATCTTACAGTTGGTCTTGGTGCACTTTTAAGATGATGAACAAATTGTTCATTATGAGCATCGATTCTTGTATTCACATCCCAAGTCATTTTTTCATCATAAATCTTTTATAAAAAAAAAATTGATTCTATAAAAAAATAAATAAATGACTTACTCGTGGTTTTGGTACTTGACGAAGAGTTTCAATGGCTTTTTCATTATGTGAATCAATTTTTGTTTCAACATTCCAATTTGTTTTTTCGTCAAATATCTTTATTTTTTGAAATATATGACAAAATGATTATTAAATTAAATAAAAAATAAAATATTCTACTTGAGATTTTGGTCTATTACGAATAGTTTCTATGGCTTCATTATTATGTGTATCAAGTTTTGATTCAGTACTCCAAGCTAATTTTTGACCAAATATTTTTCTTTTAGGTGCACGACGAATTTGTCTTATTGCATCATCATTATGTGATTTTATTTTTGGTTCTGCATACCAATTAAGTTTTTTTTGATAAATCTAAAACAAAATAAAATAAGATTATAATTAAATAAATAATTTCATACTTTAACATTTGATATTGGAGGAACATAACGAACACCACGTCGTCGTTGTATTGATGTAGACTTTTTTAAATAAGATAAAATTAAAATATTTATATCAATTATTTATTCATCTTACTTCTGTAGTTGGTTCTGAATGTGCTGTTTTCAATGGTGTAACAGGAACATGTTTATTTTTTTCTTCTTCATTATCATTATTTTGTATTCGATTAACTCGTGATGTTGATTCAATTGATTTTGATCGATTAGTTTTTTGTAATGTTCGTTGAGTAGGAAATGAACCAATAGGTTGTTCAATAATATCATAATCTAATACATTTCCATCAACATCTGTTCGAACAACAACAAATTTCTAAATACAAAAAAAAAAAAAAATTCAAGAAAATTTAAGTGTATAAATGATATTTCTTTTTTTAATACGTCAGTATTTCGATTTCGTGGCATAATCGTCGTCGTCGTTGTCACTAAACGAATACAAAAAGTAAAAAATGTTTAGATTTTTTAAGTGTAAATTACATGACTACATGTGAGTGCCTGAGAATGTGAGAAGAACAAAACAAATAATTCAATTTTTTTGTTCTAAAATAAGACAATTTGAATGATGACTAAAACAAAAAAAATTCCTTGCGAATAGTATGAATGACTTCCATTAGAAAGAATTAATATTTGTTGAAATTCAATAATTTGACTTTTTTTTATCATAAAAATTCATTTCGCAAAATTTTAAGATAATACTTGAATATTATGATTGATTATTCTAACGAATAAATATCAGTTGAAATATAATTCTGAAAGTAAGGATGAATAGTTCTGAGAATTAAACATCTACAAATTAAAAAGTTTTAGTAAATTATTCATGTGAAGCTATTCAATTGTATATATCTTATATTCTAAAAAATAGTTAATATAGCATTCTGTTTGTTTTATTAAATCATTATTTAGATTAATATGTGAATAACTGATAAAATTGATTTGTTAAAAGATAAAGAGCAAATGTCAATTTTGAATTTTTTCACGAGCAGACGTTTTCAACTACGTATTAATTGCAGCCAAAACTTTTAGTAAAAATTCATTGTTTCATTTATATTGCGTTTCCAAAATGTGCGGCCACTTTTTTTTTCAATTAAGAAAGAATCAACAAACATAAAATAATAATTATATATATAGTTATTTATTCATATTACTACTATATAAACAAAAAAAAAGCAATAAATTTGCTCCTCGTCACTACTATTCTTAGCATCTTTCAAAAACATCTATGTATCATACTTCGTAAGACTATTTGGGCTTAATTTTTAGTTGCAATTAGGAGACTATGAATGTTTTCAATTGATCCATCGCTTTCTCATCAAAACTTAATTGATTGTATATTATCGATCATGAGAAATCTCCTTAGGTTTTCATACGTTGGTTTTCTAAATTAACAAACTTTACACCAAAAATTGTTGTTACTCTGTTGAGATTATTCAACATATCAAACACTCTAGAAAAAAGGAAAGTTTTTTCGATTTCAAATCATTCTTTACAATATTTAGCACTCTATATATAGATGAACCAGTGTCCGTCAATCGATGCTTAATAAATTAAATGTTTTCACTTAGTTGAAAAGAACATTATGTTAACAAAAAAATTGAACAGTTAATTGATAAACAAAATTTTCAGCTTTATAAAAATAAGATCAAGCAAGAATATGTTCTTAGAAATAAAAACAAAACAAGTATCAATCAGTTTTATGTATCTTCAAAAAATGAATCAGCTATTGCAGATCAAATTAAGTAGAATATTAAAATTGTTTGTATTGAATTTGCAGCAATTGATCATTAACTTTTGGTGAGAAAGCAGATGATCAGTTGAAAACGTTCCCTCGTCAGTAGGAATCACAATCACTCACATTCGTATTTTTAAAATTCGCTGTTTCTTCTCTTCAAATACATATATTAATATATTTCTGCTTACTAAGAACAAACATTGGTTAAGTAAATGATATGTAATACATTTATGTTTCACGTGACTATGTTCATCTAGAGTTAACATGTCATTCATTCATAGTATCATGCGATAGATGTTTATAGAAATTTTTATTGTTGAAATTCAGAGAGAGCGAGAGAGAGAGAGAAGCATAAAAGATTGATTTCTTCTGCATTATTGAATCAGATCGTTTGTTTTTTTTTTGAGTTATGTAGACAATTGAATTTCAATGATCACAATTCATAAAAGACAAATTTATTTAAGTATTTGAACTGTCGGATAAAACTCAATGTATTTATTCCACGTCATGATGTAATATTTATCGAATTAAACTGTATGCTTTGTTTTTTTTTCTCTATTTTCTATTTTGCATATCAAAATAGATATTGAATTAAAAAAAATACTTCAATATTAGTTTTCGTATAATTTATCTATCATTCATTTGTTATTAACTATTAACATGAATTACTTGCTTTTTTCTTTGCTGATATTAACAATCTTCATTTCAACTTTACAAGGTTCGTTCAAAGATAAAAAATGTCTTCCATTATTTGAAAAATTTTATTTTAGCTCTTGCTTGTTACAAACATCATGATCAATGTGCATATAAACCATCATGTCTTGTTGATGCAAATCGAAAGAATTGTTCAAGTCCAGAAGAAACATATTGTTATGTAAGTAGTGTAGAGATGGAAACTATTAAATAAAATTTATATTTATTTAGAAAGATGATATTATTTTTGGTATGGCAATACGAGGTTGTGGTAAGTTTAATTATTATAAAACTCATTATTTGATATGTAATTAAAAAATTTATTTAGCTGAACCTGAATTCTGTAATGCAACAATTCCAATTGGTACTCGACATTGTTGTAATACAAATTATTGCAATCATGCCATGAAAGGAATACATATAACTTGGATTATGACTATAATCATGCCTATGACAATTATGGTTATAATCTGTTAATGAAAATAATGAAAAATAAAAACTTTTTTATTCATGATTCATTTATATTTTTTTTATTATAATTATAATCGTATCTTTTCAAAAAACAAAATAAAGAAAGATTTTAATTGCTGATTATATCGCAATTAATATTCAGTTTGTTTCAATCATTATAATATCATATGATTGAATAGATAAATGATTTTTGTTCGCATTATATTACAAATTATCAATGAAATATCGATAAAGTCTTGAATTCTTTAGATTCTCTATACAAGAAAAACTTTTTCATGATTATAGAATCTTATTAATATACGGTGCATATTCGCACGAGATCATACATGAAGAGATCTTTCTAAAATAAGAATATATTTGGTAAAATCGCGTTGTGTAAACTATTCAACTTACTTCGTAAACAACTTTGATATAAAAAAAATTAATTTTAATTTTAATTTTTGTTATTTAGCTACTGAGAAGGTTTAATTTTACTAATGGCTAATCTTATCTTCTTTAGAAAAAAAAAGAAAGAATGATATTAGACATTGTATCAAGATATTAGGATGTATTGATTGTATTGTTGTAATGAATTGAAACTAAAAATTGTTGATGAGACTACTAAAAAATGTGACTTTTTTCTAGGGACCAAATAGAAGACCTCGAGCTTTGAATATGCCGAAAGCTTTAATCAAAGTTTATTTCTTAATGTGTGTTGGTTTCTTATATCAAGAAAAATTTATAAATTCTACTAATTATTTCTAATACAAAAGGAAAGTAAAATCAAATGTCGTTACGACATAGTTATTCTATGATGGTATAAAAACTATCATTTTGTTGTCCTTTTTCACTAGGAAGATCATGTCATTCAATGATTTATGATCGACAATGACCCATTCAAAAGTGGCACGAAAACAAATATTGACACGTCAATCTTTTTGTCTCTTCATAAAGAAAAAAAAATTTTGTGTGTTCCTCTGTATGTATTTTTTTCAAACTCAATAAACGTAAGCTTTTTATCCTTGACGATAAAGCAAATATTTGATGCTCTAATAATGAATAAAGATTGTACTCAATCTCGTATAATTCATTAGTAAATAAGAATTATCAAGTTGTGACTTCCGAATAAAAGAAATGATTTCAACATTTAATATTTAATGTTGTATTCATTCAAAATAATACTCCAGGTAGTGAGATGACTGCACAATTATGCATATCTAATGATCGCATTTTTTCAATCTCAATCAGAAGAACTAGGAAATTTTTTTTTGTCAACACATTCTACATCCACTGAGACTAACCGCTTGTTTTCATGATTTTGTATACAATATAAAACGAAGTAAGAAGACTTTCTAAATCGTCGGCGGTATCAAGAGATAATATGTAAATTGATCCTAAAATTTTCGAAACTATTATCTTCGATTCTTGCTATTTGACAGAATGGAGAATTTTGTCTTCAACATTTAAATAGTACCTGTCAATTGATTGATGAGAATGAACACTACCTGTTTGCGTATGGTAAATTTAGGGCTTACTGTTTTTTAAATGGATAAGATACGCACGGTTTCACATCTTCACAAGACTTAAACTCGACTGTACAGAAAAGTAAATTCAAACGGATATTAGTGACGTATGCGATAAAGATCATATGTCATACAGTATGGTAGCCGAATACGTGTAACACTTTCATAGATCAAGAAATACGGACCAGTCTCGGCGGAAAAATATCGGAAATCGCTGGAACACAGAATACTGCTTTCACGTTCCATCGTTTTTTGGTGTTTTTGTGTTGAATACGATGGTTTTTCTGGCATCTTTCCGGCTAGTACAGGTAAAATCCGATCGTTTCTGGAACTTGAAATTATCGACCTGAGCTTTAGAACATGATCCAAGATCTATTGTATGACGCTATTAACAGAATCCTCAATAATGAACTGAAATTGAAAAATTTGTGTATAAGATGAATACCACATCAGCTGACAAAAAAAAATGCAAGCAAGGGTAAACTGAAATCTAGCAAGAAAATCTTACTTAAGTGGAATATGATCAATGGCGACTGTGTGATACTGTTACAGAAAATAAAACATGAATTTAGTATCGGAGCATCCATTCAAAACAATCCAATACGACATTGGGTTCCGGAAATCTAAATCCAGCAACAGACGTCAGGCGAAATATATGTAAGCAAAAAAAAACGTTTATTGTCGTCTTTCGAACTATTAGACCACAGTTTATTCACATGATCGAATACGACAGATTTTGTTTTCCATGCTATCAAGCTGCATTATGACAATGCAAGAGCGTGCAAAACAAACGATATTGAAACATTCCTTCATGATTAAGGAGTGATTGTGATAGCTCTTTCATTTTATGCTTGTGACTTAGCATCATCTGATTCTTGGTTATTTGAACCTCAGAATGAGTATTATATGTCTGTTGATATTTGAAGAAAACAACAGTAATCTTTGAACAGTTCATCTATTTTCTTCATATTTTTCTTAATACATTTTCCAAGATTCCAATTTTTCAGAACGAAGTTACTCTATAAAGTTTCTTTTCTAATTTTATTTTATATTTTGTAGCAAAAATTTTTAAAAAATATCCTATCTACACGAACGGCGAATTGATTGAAAATGTTAATTTTACTTGTACAGGCATCATTTTCTACCCAAGCAAACAGTTTATGCAGAATTGACCAATTTTAAATCAGAAAAAAGATATTCTTCACATATCCTTGGCATGATCACACAAAGCTGATTCTAATCGATGTTTTTCTAATTTTGATCAGTAGTTTTTATATGATCGAAAACATCTTGATTCACAAATTTCGAAACAATGATTAAGCAACCTTGATAAGCCCATCAGAATCCAGCTGAGAAATAAATCCTTGCAAATAATGTGCGACGCATCGAAAGAATGTAGCTGTGAGGTTGTAGAGTTTGGTTGTTGGTTAAGAGATGACTTATACGCTTCGCTTACAAGTAGCTATGATAGCCATAATATTACTCACCAGCTTCTTCATACCCTCGAGATAGCATGGTCTGATAAAATAAAACACCATGGAGCAGAAAGCATAGTTGGCTATCAGTATGCATGATGGAGATAACTTCGTAGTAAAAAAGTTTATCAGTAAGAATAAGAAAGGCAAAAAGCTCTTATCAATGCATGGAACTTTACATATGTAATATTGACGTTCTTCATGGAAAATACTACGAGCAACACAGGACGCAGTGTTCAATATGGTTTGTAGATATCCAGTGCAGTTTGGGAATTTATTTTCAACTTAATCAAAAAAGCTAAACTATGTTTTCCTCTGTCTCCCTCCATCTAACTGATCCCGATATACATAATAAGAGAAGTATGATGCATTCTAACATACAAAACGTCGTTGCTTTATAAATATATTTGAGCTTTGACATTGTCTTAGTAGTTCTTTCTAAGATTCGTATGAAACCTAAAGTATCAATATTTTATATCTGCGGAAAAAATGTGTTCAGATCTTAACGCAACTGTTAGACTTTTCGTCTAGGATCCCTACAGTTTTAAGTACGAAATTGTGCAAATTCAACTTAATCATTGTAGCTCGATGGATCATTGTACTAGTTACTGTCGTTTTCTCTCTCTCTCTCTCTGCTTCTACGTGAGTACTCCCATCGACTACTGACTATTGTTCAAACGATGTTCTCAGTTGTCAAATTCGAATAAATGATACTTTGTTCAATCTAATCTATGTGATCATTCAAGCACTTCTATTGTCCATTGTTACTCTATCTTTGATGATTATCTTCGATCTAATGACGTTTTTCAATATGAGACGAGTTCGAATTGATTCCATCACTCTCTCAGGTTAATGTCGCATCGAAAGTCAATTGGTTCAAATAGTTTTCTTTCTAGTCGGAACTCACAGTGCATTGACAACGTCTAAATTCGTAATCTACTCGATGATTCTTTTTCTCACTGCATGCTTAATGATGAACTATATTCTATTCTATTTTTTGGCATAACATAGCATTTATTGAGTGTGTGCTTTCGGGTCACATCTATTGAAAAGCATTGATCCGACTGAAATGGAAACTGATGACATCCTTTCGTTATCTTTTAATTCATCTTACAACCAATGACGACATTATGTCGACATCTTCACAAAAATTAGACATCGTAACAAACTGAGGCGGATTAATACATTGAAATAACAATGAATTCAAATGAGCCATGGGAGGGTAACTGGGGAGTTCTTCGAACAAATCTTAGAGAAAACTATTGCTTGTATTTTTTTGATTAAAAAAAGAGACGAGAAATAGATTCAATAGTTAAAGAGAGTTCTTATGGGTGTCACCTTTCTAACTGTTTGCTTGATAAGATTTCGTTTTGATGACAAAACCAACGCATACACATCAAGGAGACACACAACTTAATTCTTAAGTAAAGAATGCAAACTCTTGCCGTTTATCGTACTTTGTCTAACAAACGTCTTATCAGCAAGTGAGTTTCATATTGCCATTGCCGTTGATATCATCATCATATTCAACATGGACATTGCGCTGAAAATAGCGGAAGTCGCCTTGAAAATCAAAATTCTTGTCGACAATGTCCGAGCGAATAATAAACGATGTCGACGTTTGAACGATCGAATCTCGGTTCTCGTTCCATTGATTCAACAGTTACACGAGAGAAAAACACTGACAACCAAATATATAGCAGCATTGGAACGATTACTCGTATGTGTTGAATGCTGTTATGCATTTATAAAGAAATTTACTGAGAGTAATTGGTTTGTTCGAGTTTATGATCAAGCATGTCATCGAGATACATTTGATGAATTAAATCAAACTCTTTATTCATGTGCCACAGATTTAAATTTAGCCTTAACTGTACAAAATCATTTCAAGGGTAAACAAGATGAAATCGATAGACATGCTGATCGAGAATTTTTATCAAAGAACTTCGACAAGATCATTCGTTTACAAAGTGAATATTCACAGCAGCACAAAGCTCAACTAGGCAATATTGAGCGTATGTTCCAATCATTGGTTGATAATAACAAACAGAATCTTGAGGCACTAATGGACGATTACAAACGACAACAAATGCGTGAAGAAGAGAAACTCTTCATTCATGTTCAATACAGTCAAGTTATACTTCAACAATTGATTGTCAGTGCCAGTTCTGGTAACGTGTACAAAGGACGATGGAGCAATTCGAAAGTTGTTGTCAAAGAATTGAAGATTTCTGCTATGAAAGGACAAGAACGAGAAGAATTTGTCAAAGCCGTAGCGATTCTCACGCGTATTCGTCATGAAAATATTGTGCAACATCTCGGTGCTTGTATCGAAGAACCGGATCGTTATCTTGTTCTTAGCGAATTGATGCCTTTGGGATCCTTGAATGCCATTTTACGAAACAAAGAATTAGAATTCACTTGGACCGATCGTTGGTCTATTGCTAAACAAATCACCAATGCTATTCTCGATCTTCATACGTATTGTTCACCGCCGATTATTCATAAAGATATCAAATCGTCAAATATTCTTCTAGATTATTATGGGGGTGATCGACGAAAATATCGAGCGAAAGTAAACGATTTTGGATTAGATCAGATTCATGGTAACGTTGGAACTTTAGCTTGGTCTGCACCGGAAACTTT